CTCCTCCTCCTCCTCCTCCTCCTCCCCTTCCTTCTCTCCCCCTCCCCCGTTCGTAGTCCGCCGAGGATGCTGTTGCGACCTGGACACGCTGCCGCCGCCGCCGCCGCCGCCGCTGCCCCCCTTGCCCTTGCCGCTTGGGGTCCCCAGCTTGGAGCTAGCCATCTTTCCCGCCCCGGTCTTGTTCATGCCGGCGCTAGCTCTCGCTGCGGCGGCGGCGGCGGCGGCCCGGGTGGCCGCTCCAACGAACACCGAAGACACAGCCGCGTCGCTCCCCACTGCGGTAGCATCCAGGGCTGCGGCGCTCAGGCTCTTCGGGAACTTCCCATCGCTACAANGGGGGGGGGGGGAGAGATACAAAGGTGGATACAAGCGGGATTCTTTTAGGGTTTGGGTGTTGTCAGGGTGGCGGAAAGGGGGCGGTGCTGATGGCTGACGGGCCGAAACGGACCTAAGCAAACGACAATCTGCAAAACTAAGCAGCAACCCCTAGAGTACTGACTCTGCCGGCTACAAAGCGACACCTCTGCCACAGAGCACGGCCTATGTAGAGCAAATGCAGCCGTCTGCCGACTTTAGAGCTACAACGCTTGGGCCTCTACATCCAACTCATTCCTTGTCTGTCCTTGTACGAACAAAAAGGCGGCTTGCATGAACAATGGTGCTGTTGGCATCGTTTCAAGAGGACAAACGCCACCACATCGAAACACATCAACAACCGTAGATACGCTTCTCACAGCAGCAGTCTCGAGAAGAAGCTATACTCCCCGACGTTGGACACACACGCCATGGTTACGCCTCTTAACCTGAAGATCTCAAAGAGTACCCAGAGATCACCGGCGAACATTTCGACGGGCCTCGAGCGGAGGCGTTGTTCTCTAGCGAACTCGCGACAAAACAACAACGGCACAATGGCCTGTCCGCCTTCTCTATTATCCGCCCCTTATCCTAGTCCTATGCGTCTCACCGGAAGATAAGGCTAAGGAGACGCGTGTGCACCTCCGCAACCATCACAGACGCGCCCGCCCCATAGTGCAGCGCGTCCGCGAAATCGTCCAGCCCGAAGGGGGTGAGCATGATCGTCTGTCGGGCAAGAAAACAAGGACCAAACACCGGATTCGGTACATGCGCATATGCGGCAGTTACCACATTCTAGGCAATTTAAAAGATGTGATGTTGTCGTTGGCTGCTGCACAGAGTACGCTCTCCGCTTGCTCTGGCGTCCACCATTAACCCTCCCACCACGCGGTCCCTCTACAAAAAAAAACATCACAAAAAAGTCTTGTCAGTCACTGGCCGAGGGGCTACAGTCCCTCCAAAGAGGCCTGTGACTTAGGTTCAGAACGAAACGTGTCCCCAGAACACGTGGGGACACTTTTCGTACTGGAGCCAAGTCAGCAAATTTCAGTTTGACGACCTAGGGGACACGCGGCTTGGGAGATGGTGTACAGCAAGCCAGAGGCCGAGGAGAGGTATCACACAGCGTCCCACCTCACCCAAGCATGATAGACCAAGGGTTCTCACGTGCGTTTCACATTGCGGAGGTGTAGGGCGACTACGGTGCGATAGCTAGACATTTAAATCATGCGTCCCCAACGTGTGCCCATTTGGGCCTCCAGTCTAGGAGGGATAAGCGCCTCTTTTCCGCTCTTCAGAGGCAAGCCGACGATTTTCCGTGGTGGCCAAGCCAAACCCACAATCTCAACCTGCGAACAGAACGCCTGAGGCCACCAAGGCCGACGTCTCCTCGGTGCAGGGCATCTACAACACCTGTACTGTCGCCATCATCATCATCATCATCATCGCTGCCGTCGCAAAAACGGCGGCCCACAACCGACACCCACGGGTTGCCTTTTTCATGGACAGCAGCGGCGGAAGCGTTTCTAGCGGCTCTCGACTCTCAACCGACCCCATTCACTCCGTTTTCGTTAACATGGCGAGTCTGGACACACCCGCATGCCACCCCACTACCGAACGGGCCGCCAACAACGGAGCTACATGCACCACGCGCCTTGCGTGCTCATGCCAACGGCTAAATTCCGAGTTGTCCACAAGGCACCCATCCATTTCAAAAACCCGCGGCAGCACACCTGAGAGTTAAGATGGAGGAAATCCCAGGCGCGGAGGATGGGCCCCGCCACGTTCGCCACGATGCTGAGCTTCTTCAGCACCAGGGGACGCGCGGCAAGCGGCCCCTCCTCGGGCGGCTTGAGGTTTCCCAAGAGGGCGTCGTCCACGGGCAGGACGGGCTGCTTCCGTCGCTCGAGGACGGCGTTGTGGCGCTAATACAGCAGCAGCAGCAGCAGTAGCAGCAGCAGCAGCAGCAGCAGCAGCAGCAGTAGCAGCAGCAGCAGCAGCAGAGGTGGAGGAAGACGGAGAGGCAAGGCATGTTGCGGCGTGAAACAGGACAGAGGGGATCATGGACGAGAACACCAACAGAGGCTCTCCGGTCAAGGTAGTACGTAAAAAAAAATGCGGGATCAGAGGGGGCTTGCGGTTCGTGAACTTGAGCATTCACCACCAAGTCGTTGCGAGGCTGAGGACCCATCTTGCTCATGATAGTAACAGCGCCAACATCCGCGTGCGCGCCTACAATGATGCCGCTTAGAGCGGGGTGGGGGGGGGGTGGAAAGCTGTAGGTGTGTTGCCGNGTTAGACCATTGACCTCGCATCCCTACAAAGCCGGGACGGAGCACGCCGGGTTCTCACCGGACCAGGCTCTCACATCACCAAGCGCGAAGCGCCGTGAGATATTCGGCGAGTCGCATGAAGGGTGCGCTGCATCCTGCTAAGGGTGTCCGGCATCTTGTGCTTACTTCCTTGCGTATGGATGACAGCTGCGTATGAATTAATTTAACTTCTGGTGCTTTCACTTCCTGACAGTTGGAATCACTGTGTAACTGCCTCGAGGGTGCTTGACCATTTTAGCACAACGTGGTGCGATCATCCCCCTTGCGCGGAGTGAGGGTTTTCGACCCCGCACAACATGATCTACTCGACCACCATTATGGCTACCGCCAAAAAAAAAACCGGAGGTAAAAAAAAAAAACGGTAACCTGGTTGCCGAGTTCACGAAGTGAATTGGCTTGTTTTACAACGTCGTTGGCAAGCGACGAAAACCCAATCCTGATGGCAAACACCGGGGGGGGCGGCTTGTTGTACAACGTCGTTGCCATGCGACGAAAACCCAACCCCGATGGCAAACACCTGGAGGGTGACGGGGGGGCATACTGCTCTCACAGAACCTCAAATTTCTCTGGTACGTACACGGCATTATTTCCTCCCACAGCGTTATTTTCTTGTCAGATAAACTGTGCTGGATGCCTCTGTGTACGGCATTTGATATCCTCTTGAGAGCCAGCAGCCCCCGGGGGCCACAACAGAGGATGTTCCGCGTCTTCGGCGCTCCAGGCCGAGATATCAGTTCCTCTCGCACGCAGAGAAGTCCCTCAATCCTTCCCCTCTTTCACGCGGACGCGTGCCTAACCAAGATACAGGACCCCTTCCTAAAACAACGGGTCAGGAGCCTGACTCACCTGTTGAGCCTTGGAGCGATCTCTCGCGAGACGTTTCCTCTCGCCCTTGACCTGATCGCGCTTGCGCTTCGCGCTTTCCACCTAAACGGACGCGGGCAATACAAAACATTTAGAGATGACGGGTCCGGTAGACGTGAGGGGGGGGGGGGCTGTCTGCATCCACGAACCCCATTCTCGCAGAACTCAGAAGAGCGACCAGCGGGGCCATGGATTACTTGTAGCAAAGGTCGGGATGTTGAATTTTTCGCTGGCTTTCGCCGCACTCAACAACACAAAAATCCAAGCCAAAAGTCTCCTCAGGCGAGAGCCGGGTGTCGGCCTTGAAATATTTCACCACACAACAGCGACAGCCTCTGTACCGTCTCGTCGAGAGCATTCCGACGACGTATCGTTTCAGTTTTTGTGCATCCTTCCGGGGCATGTAGTCGAGCTTTGAAAATCCGTCCACGGGGTGTGGTATCTTGCGTCACTCACGGTAAGCGTCAACCGCGAAAGTGCGAGGTGATCGTACATCCCCTAGACGTGCTTTCGTAGCTCGATTGAGGAGTTGATAATCGGTCCACGGGGTGCGGTGCCTCACGTCACCCACAGCATACATCTTCCGCGGAAGTACGGGGGCGATCGCACTTAGTTTCGTAGCTCGATGGAAGCTTCGGCGATCGCTCCAGCGGGTGTGGTACCTTAATTCACCCATGGTGTACATTTATCGCCAAAGTGTGGGGTGATCGTACACCCCCTAGACGTGCTTTCGTAGCTCGATGGAAGCTTCGACAATCGCTCTAGCGGGTGTGTTATCTTACGTCACCCACGGTAAGCGTCAACCGATTGCTCCACAACCAAGAGGGACCGACAACCGACTGGTACTTGCAAGGAACGGCCTCGACGAGATAAGCCTTTCCAGAGAAACCATTCTTCGGCGTTTGGCAGCTCCTTTGTTGCGGCGCAATCGAGCGGTGAAATTCGGTCTAGGTTGTGTGCTATGGTAGTCCTTTCTTCCGAAACGGAAGCCTTAGAAACAGAACAACAACAAAAAACGGCTGCACGTACCTCTCGGACACTCTCCCCCAGCAGGTTGGAGAGGAACATTTTCGACTTCTCAGGGTCCGCCAGCAGCGCCTTCACAGCCTCCGGGCACATGGGGGTGCTGCTTCTCGAGAAAAAGCCAGCGGCAGTGCCTCCGCCTCCGGCCACGTTCTTCACTCCCGCGGCATGGGCCCAAGGCCCGCCAACGCCATGCGTCTGTATCAGGCCGGACGATGGGGCAGGGTCACACAGGGGTTAGCCCGCGTTTTCGTTCCTTGGTGGTAGGGACGGAGGTGCGCCCAATCAAAACAGAGACAGAGCATCAGCAAACAATTAATATAATATCTACATCGCGGTCGAAGAAATGTAGGGGGGAAGGTGGACAAGGAACACACACGCATTTTATGTTTTCAGCCGCAATTGGGCTGACGTCTTTTCGTAAGTCAGCCGACTAGCGCGGTCGATGCCAACACACACACTCAACCGAACCCAGATCTGCCAGCACCGCTAGCGCAACAACACCGCTCCCCCTCTCACCGCATTGCTATCCGCTCCCCCGCCGCCGAAGGAGCCGCCACCGCCCATGGCTCCGGAGGACACCCTCGCCGCGATAGCGTCCGCCGCCGAAGCCACGCGCTCGATTCGAGCCTTGGACTTTGGGGAGCACGCGGCCACCACCGCCGCCGCCGCCGTTGCGGAGGAGTCGGCAGTCTCCTCCATTGCCGCCGCTCTCGCCGCCGCCGCGGGAGAAGAAGCCTTCTTCTTACCGCCGCCGCCGCCGCCGCTGCCGCTACCGCCCCCTTGGGCTGAAGAAGTTCTCACGGGCTGGAGCCAACCCATGCCGGGGCTGTTAATGGCCACCCGGAGCGGCGGGAGCTTGTCCGTGGTCTCGTCACCGTTGATGGTGGCAGTATCCTTGGCCCTGTGGTGGTGGTGGTGGTAAGCGGCAGTGTGGGTTGATGCGGCGGGGGGGGTTGGGGGGGTGGGAGAGGAGCCGCTGGACGCGCCCCGACGGCACTCGACACGGAAGCCGCACAAATGCTGCCGTACTTCGCGTCACCACCATTTGAGTCGGTGTTTTTCTTTCTACTGCCATCGCTGATGCTCCTGGTGCTGGAGTTGCCCACATGAAATAAACGAACGATATTTGCCGTTGCCCTCCTCCCTCCCTCCCTACCTCCGNCTCTCTCTCTCTCTCTCTCTCTCTCTCTCGCTCTCCACGTGATGCTGTTGTCGCCGCTAGGCTAAACTCACCGTAGACAAGATACGCATTGTCACGCACGTTGCTATTCCTACACGCGGGCCCGCATGACAGCAACCATGGCAGTGGCAGGCGCCGTACTCTTACACCAACTTACAAGCATCACAGTTGTATGCATACGAGACTCACAAGGCTTGGGCTCTGACTTCCGCTCGTCTCTCCCTTTTTCGCTCATTCGCCCTTGCCTAAATGAACACCAGTAGAGCGCGAGGAGTCGGGGGAATGACAAAATTGGTGGGTGCGTGTGTGTGGTTCTTGCGGTTGTATCGGCCGAGCTAACCGGCTGACCACTGAAAATAAAATATACAACAGCAGTCGTATGATAGCGTTCTACCAACAGAGGGGGCACGGGAATTGGACAAGAGGCAGTGTCTCCTTGTGTGTCTTGATTCCTAGCACCGACCGCGCCGACCGCCTGGCCGATCAAAATACTTCAGTCTCAGTGCAACCAAAACAGAAAGCGCTTCGATGAGGTCATCATGATCACTGAGGCAGCTTCTATGCGTAGCACGTGCTGCGACACCCGCTTGGGATCTCCCTGCTCGCTCTCGGCCATCTGGCAATGGCCCTATGCACTTGCCTATGTTTCCGCCTCAATGCGCAACACTTTCCACATCTCAACCGACTCCCCGACACGACGCAAGGCCAAGGCACGTGTTCCGGTAAATAAGTGTCGGTAGACATGGGTTCCACCAACACCGATGTGTGTGATTGCATCGGCCACGTTTCGACAACCCAGGGAAACCAGACGTGTAGAAGCTGCCAACTTCGTATCGCTGCACGATGAGGAGGTCGATGTTCCCAACGGGGATGGGCACAAAAACCCCAAGCAGCAGCAACAACACAACAGCAGAGACGAACAACTTCGGGAGCGTGGCAACAAAACTTACCGAATAGCATAATTACTGGCAAGCATCTGGCAGGGCACCACTCACCCTTTGCTCTCGCTTCTTTGCCTCAGCATCATCGGCAGCGTTCTTGTGCTTCCCCGTATCACCTCCGCCGCCTTTTTGCTTCTGAAAACGAGCCAGGAACGGTGGACAACCGGAAGCAACAGCCGCGGACAGCAAGCGAGAGGGGCGGCGGGGGTCAGGATCTAGGCCAAGGGCGATTACAGTGATACAAACGGGAAGCGAAGGAAGATTTACTCTAGTACGATTGTGCGCTATCTGGCCGGAGTTGCTGCGGCTAGGGCGCCGGAGGCTCGGTGGGTTGCTACCACTCGCCAAGACGGGGAACAAAATGTGAAACGCATTTGCAACCGCAAGCACGCCTTGTATCTTTTCCGGTGCAACAGCGCCAAAAGCAACCAGCAGCACCTGTTCGACACACCCACTCCCGCGAGCGACTCGCGCGCCCACACCACAACAACAACGCAAACTAGCAGTGGTTTTCATTAGCGATCGGGCCTCGCAAGGACATCGACGTTACAGCAGTAGTAGAGGCCTCCTGGACACTGGTGTTGGCGGTCTGTAGTACGATGGTAGACTAGTCGCTTGGTGGTCTGTATTACGATGGTAGACTAGTCGGAGCTGCTAACTAGGCCCGTGCGTAGATCCGCTGCGTTTAGCAGCGCCGCGCAAGAGGACGGCTAGAAACGAAAGACCTAGCCTTCTGCTGCCGTGACCTGGGCTTCCAACTGGTGGTAGCACAAACCGTGTAGGGGCTGGCAAGCATAGGCGACGGAAGTGTCTTCTGTACATAGGGCAATGAGTAGGAAGCCTGTGCCTCAATCGTTCACTATGTATTTAAACACAGCAGTGTTGACCATTAGTGTTTGAATCACCTTCTCGAACGTGCTGCTGGCTTCAGTATCGTTGCGAATTGCGGATCCAAAAACAAAACTTACGTCGTCGTCCTCTACGGCTACAGATATTAGTAGCGGGTGCTACGCTACAGCAGCAGTCCGGTCCTGTGCTGCGCTCGGATCTTAGCCGTTGGCGAAGATACAGCGTTGGGGGTACATACGCTCTCTGCTGTAGATCGGTATCTCGCGACTGACAATGGGCAATTTTGAAATCCAGGGGGAAGGGCAACACGAATAACGTGCAGTGTGCATCGAGGGTTAACTCGGAGAGCCATGACGGGCGGAAACCAGGAGAATAAAAAAATATGGAAAACAGATGGGTGAACGAAGCGACGTTACCCTTAGAGGTGAGGTGGGGGTACAAGTCGATGTTGTCGTAGCACTACACCGGGGTTGGGTATCATGTTCGCTAGCGCCAAGCTACTGTAGACACGCTGCCTAAGGTGGCCACCTCACGGCAGTGAATGAAGACCACCCAGCTGGCAAGCCACTCCTCCCACCCAGAGTCCCCAAGCCACCCCGTGTCTCGAACGCCACACACGCGCCAAAAGAGACGAGCCAAAAGGGTGGACGCCAACCTTATTTACCCGAATGACTGCTTGGCTGGGGTTAGCATAATTCGACCCTGGAGTATTCCTCAGGGTATTCCAAAAACCGATATACACGCCACAAAGTACAACGGGCAGAGACAACAACACCACCTCCCCTTTATCGTGGCAGTAGCCCGGTCGCCAAGTACAGGCAATGCTCTCCCCCAGCGTGCGAGAACGAGTACACCGACATGCTCGCTCGCTCTCGTTATCCCTACCTCCGTCCCAGAAGCGCCATCAGCGTCAGATCCATCCGAGCCCGCGCTGCTGTTATCCAGAGTAGACAGATCCACGACATCGCGCTGAGCGCTGCCGCCGCTGCTAGCGCTCCCTCGCCTAGATCCCGCCCCCCCCCGACCACGAGCAGCCTTGGCGCCGACAGGAGCATCGCCGGAAGTCGACGCCATCTCTCCCTTCCCAACGAACGTCTCTCTCGTGTCCCGCTTGTGTGTGTCTGGGGTTGTATTCGTTCAAATATTTTTCAAAATCGTCAAGGTTGCTCGCTGGACCTGCTGGGCGTTTCCCTGTGAATACCGCACACCCACAGGGCATGGGATTGCAACGCCAGAGGTCAGAGTGTCTCGAGCAAGCGTGGGCAGTCTGTTGGTGTGCCAAGCAGCAGCGTCGACGCGTTTGTGGGTCTCTGTCTGTCTCTCTGCACTGCGGCGAAAAAAAAAAGTAGCACCTTGC